TTCGTGCGAAGTTTTTTCGCGAAATGATCAAGGATGCTCCTCGATGGTCCTCGCCGAAGGGAAAATCCACATGTCCGAGCGATGCCAAGGACGCACCCGTGGCTGCACTCCGAGAGCCACGATGCCAGGAGCCGGCCCCCGACCCCCTCCGGGGCACGGCAAGGCGGTGCGCGCCCCCATGCCGGCACGACGCCCGGCCTGCCGATGTCCGGCGATCGCAGTGCCGCACAGGCGACAAGGCCTTGGTTGAAGGGGCCCTGGGACACACAAATAAATACACACAAATAACATGATTTCCTATATTTCCCCGTATGTTCTTTGTTTTTGTCTCCCCCCCCACTTCCCATATGTTCCCATATGTTCTGATAATCAACGGTTCATTGTGTCTGTGTGTTTGTTCCTCTCCTGATTGGTGTCCGACGCGGGGCGAGGTTGTGCCAAAACGCGGCGTCGTGAGAGGACACGCCGCTGCGGCCCTCACCCCCAGCTCGTCGCAGGACCCCTCTGGCTGGATAGGCTCGTGAGGGTCCTGGGGCCCGCAACGGCACGACACCCGGATGGGGGGGGGACCTGCTGGCCGTGCAGTCCTCCGCCGCCGCCTCTCCTGCCATACTCTTCCTCGCGCTGCTCGCGGGCCAGCGTGGGCGGCGGATCGGCGGACCTCGCTGCAGCGCAGGGCCGCTCCCTCGGATCGGACAGCGACGACTACGGCGGCGACGGCGACCACGCCGACGATCGACGAGCACGGCAACGGCAATGATGATCAAGGTCGCCGCCGCCGCCGCTGACGCCGACGACGGCGGCGGCGACAACTCCGGCGGCGACGACGCCGACATCGGCTCGGACAGGCGGTCATCCGTGAGATGGCCCGGCGCAGGGGGGCCTGGCCTGAGGGAGTGGGAGGGGCTCGAAGTGTGCACCAAGTCGACTGGTCGGCTCGTTGTATCGACGCCCACAGCTTCCCAAGCTGCGGGACGCTGTAATGCAGATGCACCTGACTCCTCCGCCAAATTCAATGGCTCCCTGGCCGAGCAGACTGGGGAAATGACCAGGCACCGATACCTTAGGAACCTCACCCAGGGCGTGCTCTGACCAGAATCTAGACGAGAATCCAGCCGTGGCGACAGCACGAGCATCGGCACCTTGCCCTCCACTGACCAGACGGCGCGGTGTGCACGTCGAGCCTTAAGAGGAGGAGGAGGAGGAGGAGGAGGAGGAGGAGGAGGAGGAAGAGGAGGGCTAGCATGGGGGAAACGGGTCCTGGACCCCAGGGCCTTCCCCCACGACCGGCTGCTCCTCCCGGGCCATTTTCTGACCAGTCCCAGGGCGTTTGGAGGGCCCCGATGGCACGAGACCGGCGAGCAACCCCTGAAAACCTCCTAGATTCATGTTACTCCCATCGTACGTAAGGGCCACCTCCCAGAAATAATTTCGAGCACCCGAAACAAAATGTCGAACGAGCGTCGAAACAATGTCGAAACAGTGTCGGACGAGTACCTCCCGGGGGGCCGACACGTAGAGACCCTAGAGTTTCGGTATTTGGTTGGTGCTCGAAATTCTTTCTGGTGGTCAAGGCTAAAGTAGGTTGGAACATCATACGTAATCCAAGATCGGGCCCGAGTAGGTGGGGTGGAAGGATCGCGCCGCATCGCCAATGCATCGGCGATGCATCGGCGACGTCGGCGATGCATCTGCGACGTCGGCGTGGGGAATCACGGGCTCCACATCGACCCACATCGTCGATGCATCGGCGATGCGGCGCGAGCCTCCGACCCTATCGAATTACCTGGGGACGCGCGATCCTCCGACCCTGACGAATTGCTTGATGAGGTGCCCTCCCCAAGCTGCAGCCGGTACCGCCTCGTTCGGCGGCGGAAATCTGGATCTTCCCATGGAAACGGGACCCGTCGCTAATCCGTGCCCCCTTGATCCATGTTTGCGATCGCCTGATTTACTCGGACCCCATCAGTGAAGCCTCGAACAACAGGAGCCACTTCTGAGCAGGGACCGACCGTGCGGGCATTCCAAACGTCCTACCACGAAATGTTCTGAGAACCCAAACATGTTCTGATAACGCAAACAGTGTTCTTAGAACATCAACCCGACAGACATGTTTCAGAACATTTCTTGGGAACCACAAAAGGTTCTTAGAACACTGTTTGCTACGGCTCCAGGCGAGCCAGGACGCCTCGCCGTTGCTTGACACTCGCAGCAGGACGCGGTGCACGTGCCGCGCACCTACCTTTATGTCGGGCCTGTCTCCCTACAAGTGGATTTTCGACGAAAAATGAACATACCCCAAAAATAATAAAATAAATAATCCAAAAATAGACCAGGGACATTTGTTTTTAGTATTTGTGTTGCCTTTTTGGGGCATGTTGGGGGTATCTTTTATTTTTCGTCGAAAATCCCCCTGTAGGGGGACAGGCCCGACATAAACCTACCTCCGCGGGCGCGCCCGGGGAGGGGCCCGCCGAGCGGCAGCGGGGCGGGCCGCGGCCTGGTCAGCAGCGACGCGAGGAGGGAGAGGAACGTGTGCGCCGGCTCCTCGCGGGCAAGCGCCGGCGGGTCCCGCGCGGAGGCCCTGCTGGAGCGGGGCGGCACGGCCAGCAGGGCGCCACGGGGCGCGAGGGAGGAGCGTCAGGCCGAGCAGGCACCCCCCGCGGGGGTGCCTGCTCGATTGCGAGGCCGCGCTCTCGCTCGCTCGCTCGCTCGCTCGCTGGCGATGCCTCGAGGCAGCGTTTGCTCGTGCCCTGCGAGGCCGCGCTCGCACCGGGGAACATACAGAATCCCTGTGTTTCTGGCTGCTGCTCGCCGCGAGCATGGGGGGCCAGGGGGGTGGAGGATGAGGAGGTTCGGACAACCTGTAGGAGAAGGAGGAGAAGGAGGAGGAGGAGGAGGAGGAGGAGGAGGAGGAGGAGGAGGAGGAGGAGGAGGAGGAGGAGGAGGAGTAGGAGGAGCAGGAGGAGGGAGGGGGCGAGGACGAGGACGAGGACGAGGAGGAGGAGGAGGAGGAGGAGGAGGAGGACCGCTCCGATGACCAGTGGTCAGATTCCAAAAACCAGAACCTCCCATTTGGGAGGGTGGGGTGCGGGCCTCAAACAAGGCTTTTCATGAATTTCTTATCCAGAAAAATTCGACCTGATGGAGTGCGCGACTGGCACTCTTTCAGCAAGTTCTGACTACTGCGGGTAGCGTGGGACCCGCAACTCAAGCACAGGAAAGTCCCTCTCTGTGTGACCACCAACTCATGCGACGGGTGCAGGAACGAAGCCCCGAGGAACGCCCCTCGCACGGATTTCACGCCGTGGACAGGACCAGCCCAAGGGACGGCGGGCACACAAGGGGTTCTCAGAAATTCCTGTGTGGGCTTAGCCCCGTGTGAGTTAATAGAGACCACCGACATACACTTGACGCATTGAAATCTATTGCCAGCTTCGACAGACTGCACCTCATGACTGCTGTCAGCCATAAAGTTTAGCCATCTTTGGGCCGAGGATAGGCTTGGGACCAGGGGCCTTGGGTCTCGGCTTCGGCGTCGGCCGAGGCCGTCGCGGCATCCTGGGGCCCACTTCCTGAGACTGCTCGGCATATCTACTTAGGAAAACGTCGGTGGCTCTGTTTCTTATATTTAGACAAGGCGAGGCCGAGCTCAACAGCTTCGACCTCTCCTACCTGCTACTTCGTCTGCGAGCTTGTCCGCTAGATAATTACCAGCAAATGCGAAAACGGGCGTGCCTCTCAGAGCGGCTCTCTCAGCAAACATGTGCGATTCTATCTTCAGGACACTGACTGACCGTCGATCGACGGCTGTTCGACCTCTTTTCCACTCGTTGTTGTACGTATCTGGGAACATGCTGCGCTTAACCTTCAAGAAACCTTGGGAAACATACGAACTGTCCGTGACGTAGACCAAGTAGGGGCCTTCAGGGGAGTCCTCCAGGAATCTCAAGAACGCCAACAGCTCCCCGAGATTTATGGTCTGCTCGTTCCAGGCAGCTCCAGAGACTTGTCTGGCCACTTCAAGTCGTGGCTCCTGCTCGGAGATGTCGAACTGCCTGAACACGATGTAGGCCCAGGCAACTCTCCGAAACAGATCAGATGACGTGTGCCTCCCGCCAGACGCGTCACCCGCTCCCACCAAGATGCCCGAGGAGACTGGAAATTCGCCACGTGCGCGAAACTCGGCGTCTTCCTCGAGCGGCGGAGGGGTCACTGATGTCCAAGCAGCAGGCGTGACGCCTCTCAGCCATAAGGACGGCTGAGCCTCGTGCTGTGTGTAAGCTCGAGACAACGACGGCGGGCAGCTCCTTGTTGCAACTACATCCCCAAATCCTGTGAAAGTAATCCTCCTTCTCCTCCCCGCATCTGTCACACAGCTCAGAGTAGTCATCTGGCAATTGACAAACTTGCTTGGTGCGGGTGCGAGGCCGCCGGCCTCCCGTGGAAACAGTGAGCAGAGATCCTGCCCGCGCGTGCTGCTCGGCTGCTCGAGCAGCCTTCAACTGGCTGCGTATATCTTCGAGGTATACTCCTGCTGCTACGTCCTCGCTCGCATGGTGGCCTGCTGCTCTTCTCCAAATCATCCTCCTGACAGAACTGGCTAACTCCTGCTTGAGATCGTCAACGTCGAAAACCTTTGAATCCAATATCTCCCCCGTCGCCAAAAACCGTTCCCCTTGGTCCGACGTCCAGCCCCAAGGCCCCGTGGGAACCCAATTGAGGTCCAAGAGAGTATTGATAATGGCCCTTGTGGGCCCAGTAACTTTCCTCCAACGATGCTGCGGTCGAGCTCGAGCTCGAGCGAGATGGACGCCCCAATCTCGAAGGGATAGAGCACGAGCTCGGGCTCTTGATGTGATGATGGTAAGCCAAGAATCTACTGATCTCCATACATGCGCCACTGCAGGATCCTTGTCGCCCAGCTCGATCTGTAGCAACGTGTCTAAACAGCGGCCTCAAACTGTGCTGGAAAGAGTCTTGCCCAGCGCACGTCGCCAGGCCTGCGCTGAAGACGGTGGCGTGCCATAGACGGTTGCATCGCAATTTACTTTAGCCAAACTACCTTGCTGGATCACTCGACGAACGGCTGAACGACCTCGACGACCAGTAGCTGATAACTTGCCTGCTGCTCTCACTTGTTGCCATGCTTGCCGACGACGCATTGCAGCGTTAGGCCTAGCTCTCACATCTCGACTTCTATCCACCCCCAAATCCACCGCCTTTTGCCCGACAGTGATGAGCATGCTATGTTGCGCTAACTTGCGGGCAACTTCACGGGCCACTTGAGGGTTGCTGCAGACTAAATTTGACTTCGATGCTATGGTCAGGTGAGCTTTATTGCAGAGTCGCCCTAGAGTAGATCCAGCTTTAACTAGCGCCTGGGTCACGAACTTGACTGAACCATAACAACTCCGGGAAATATCGTCAACCCAAGGAGAAACCTCCACAGCAGGCGAGTATTTATTGTAAACAATCTCCAAAACAGAATACACATAAAATCTTCCAAAATCCAAGCCTCGGCGGGCCCCTGCGATGATACTCTTGGCGGGCTGCGCGGGCTCCGAGAAACTGCGGGCCCCTCGGAATATTCTGGAAGTCAGATGGACCAGGCCTTCCAAGACGAGCACCTGCGGGGGGAACTGCTTCTCGAGGCCCTGCTGAAAGAGTCTGTCGAATTCGAACGAGTCGTAAAATGCGTCGATATCCCATGAAAGAGCAGAAGAGATGGTGTGGTCGGGGCCTGTGCCCACTGACTCATCCATGAACGTTCGAAGCAAGCCGACTCTGAGGCAAGAAGATCCTCTGACTGCCCGGCCCCATTTACCTGCTACCTGGCCCACCCACTCTGCCGGATAAACTTCGCGAGCTGCGCTCAACAAGCGAAGGATGTCTGGGGCTCGGCCTATCGACCTGTCTGTCGTGGGCCCTTTGCGCAGCAACGCGATGAACGCTGTCATAATCTGCCGCGGCCAGGTGCCGTGAGATTCGCAAGCGTTGACAAATTGTACAAGGTCCTCCACTCCTCGTGCCGGCAAGTACTTAAAAGCTCCACCGATCTGTTCAACTCCTAAAGCTTTCTTTGAGTTGACACTGTCGAAGGCGAGGGATACGTCCATTGGCGCAAGGAGAGGTAGTGGATCCTCTCGAGCGCGGGTATGCGCCTCCTGTAGCAGGCTAAAAACCCTCGCCTGTGAAAGTCTCGAGGAGGTCCATTTCTTTTGCCAATGGACACGTTTGACTGCGAGCATCTCGCAAAGGAAGGAACGTTCACGTCGTTGTACCTCAGCTCATTATCCGTCCTGGCCTTGGGCTTGACGTGCTTGTGCAAACTGCCGCCGGACAACTCGAGGCTCACTGAAATCCAATCACGAGGCTGACGCTGACTTCCTCTCCAGAGATTGTGCAATCTTGTGCGTGCTGTCCTTTAGAATCTCCAGAGCGTCGTAGGTCAGGTTGTGGATGTTTAGTAGACTGGTCGCCCAAGCTGGGCTATCTTCCAAAAGAACCGTGCCCCAACCAACATTGGGCATGTCCGAAACTGCTTGCTGTAAATGTTTGGTCAGAAAATTGATTCGCTTGTGTGGTGTCGAACGATCTCTGCCCGAAATAATATCCGTTCTTTCCCAAGGCTGTCGTATATTCAACATCTCCCCAACCAACTGTCAACTTGCAACCACCATCTGATAGAGCTGTATGTATGTGATTTGGCGGATCTGGGTGTAGCCACTGCGATTAGCTTGAAAGAAAGTGGTTCAGCTCTACCGCAGTAGTGCCAAGCTGTGGCTTCGGGTATGTCTAAAATCCTGCAGAGGTACTGCTCCATGCAAGAGATAAAATTTCTGTATTTGGTCCTAAGCGTTGTAGACGCAGCTGATTGAGACTTGAAAGCCAGCGACTCGGATATCCAGGTAGGCGGCGACGACCATGCGCTCTTCTCCATAGTATTCTCCGAGATCCTGTCCCACAACTGATTCAAATCGGTAGTCTCCCATTGTCTGTTCCTGATATGTCTCCCATCGGTTCAACTTTCTTCTCCTCAATACATGCTGCGACGGTGGTGCTCCACAAAACCTGCAGAGCTTCCTGGTCGTAGTCGGAAAATTCCTTGATCAAAAACTTCCTAGCTCTCTCAGGGAACGGGGCCCGAATGCCCTGGAGTGGTTCCGAACTCGCAGCTTTCTCGTCCTCGTCTTCTGGAAAATCCAATTCCCCATCTTCCTCCTTTCCCGCCTCCTGAAGACCCGAGTCCGTCCGCATGGCCTTCTTGGACTCCTTCTCCAGCTTCTTCTGACTGCGCTTGCTGTCGGGATTGGCCTTCTGACGCTTCGGCGGCGGGGGCTGGAAAAGGCGGGGGAGGTCCAGAACTCTACGCATGTAGGAGGAGGAGGAGGAGGAGGAGGAGGAGGAGGAGGAGGAGGAGGAGGAGGAGGAGGGGGGGTAAGGAGTAGGGTAAGGAGGAGGAGGAGGGAAGGAGGAGGAGGAGGAGGAGAAGGAGGCGAAGGAAGAGGAAAAGGAGCAGGAGGAGGAGGACGCAGGAGGAGGAGGAGGAGGAGGAGGGGGACGAGCACGAGGGACGAGACGAGGAGGAGGAGGAGGAGGAGAAGGGGAGCAGCGAGGAGGAGGGAGGGGGCCGAGGACGAGAGGAGGAGGAGGAGGAAGGGGGAGGGGGCAGGAGGAGGAGGAGGAGAGGAGGAGGAGGAGGAAGAGGAGCAGGCGGAGAAGGAGGAGGCGGGGGAGGAGGAGGAGGAGGAGGAGGAGGAGGAGGAGGAGGAGGAGGAGGAGGAGGAGAGGAGGAGGAGGGGAGGAGAGGGAAGGAGGAGGAGGAGGAGGAGGAAAGGGGAGCAGGAGGAGGAGGAGGAGGAAGGGCCCCGAGAGAACGAGGAGGAGGAGAAGCAGGAGCAGGAGCAGGAGCAGAAGGAGGAGCAGGGGAGGATGGGGACGAGGACGAGGAAGGGACGAGGAGGAGGAGGAGAGGAGGAGGAGGAGAAGGGGAGCAGGGAGGAGGAAGGAGGGAGGGGGCGGGACGAGGAGGAGGGAGGAGGAGGCAGGGGAGCAGGGGAGGAGGAGGAGGAGAGGAGGAAGAGGAGCAGGAGGAGAAGGAGGAGGAGGAGGAGGAGGGAGGAGAGGAGGGGGAGGAGGAGGAGGAGGAGGAGGAAGGGAGGCAGGAGGAGGGAGGGGAGGAAGGGGGCCGAGAACGAGGAGGAGGAGGAGGAGAAGAGGAGCAGGAGCAGGAGCAGAAGGAGGAGCAGGAGGAGGAGGAGGAGAGGAGAGGAGGGAGGAGGAAGGAGCAGCAAAGGAGGAGGAGGGAGAAGCAGGAGGAGGAGGAGCAGGAGGGGAGGGGACGAGGACAAGGACGAGGACGAGGGACTAGGAGGAGGAGGAGGAGGAGGATGGAGGCGGAGGAGAGGAGGACAGGAGGAAGGGGAGCAGGGAGGAGGAGGGAGGGGGCCCCGAGGAGGGAGGAGGAGGAGGAGGAGGGGCGGAAGGGAGCAGGAGCAAGGAGGAGGAGGAGAAGGAGGGGAGCGAGGAGGAGGAGGAGGAGGAGGAGGAGGAGGAGGAGTGGGGAAAGGGCCCCCCCCGAGCAGCAGCGCCGGCAGCGCGCAGGCCTCCGCGGTCGCGGCCGCGGCGTGCAGCTCCAGCAGCGCCTCGGGGGGGGGGCGGCAGCACGGCCGCCTCTCCGTGCCGCGCCACCGGCGCCCGCTCGCCAGCGTAGGCTTAGGTCGGGCCTGTCCCCCGACAGGCGATTTGAAAGAAACAAGACAACATGAAACAAAAACACAAAAAAACAAAACAAAAAAGTGGAGCAAAAAACAAACGGGCAAAACAATAGGCAGAAAGAGTCAACACATCGTCCCACAAAGCGTGGGGGGGGGATCGCGTGGGGGGTAGGAAACCGCTGTCTTTCGGGGGGCGTGGGGAGGTTGGGGAGCGAGAGGGAGTGAGTTTGGGGCGCGTCAGGGGGCGGGCAAGGGGCGTCGGACAGGTTGGCACGGGGGGGGTACTTATTGAAGAATCTGGAGAGCGTTTCCCACCTCCCACACAACTTGTCCGGCAAGGTCCGCGACAAAACTGTCCTCGCATGGCGCATCTCCTCCCTGCGCCCCACGTCGAAGAGCAAACTACTGCAGAAAAAAACAGAAATTAGCCAGCGTGAACCACACATAGGGCTTGCTTGCAATCTAGGCGGTGAAGTCTAGGTGGCGCAAAACAAGGAAGTGCAACCTAGGTGGTGCAACCCATGCCGACACTGCCGGCGTGTGTAAGGGGCGTGTCCGTTCGAGTCGTCCTCTCCATCATTCCTGAGTCGTCGTCTCTGCCAGCTCCTTTCCCTGCGGCCCCCAATTCCCTGGGCCCGTCGTTGCCACCCCTCTTTCCTGGGCCCTCCGCCGACGCGAAAACGAGGAACGCCGTAATCCAATCGGAAAGATTCCCCTCCCTTTGATCCCTCCCCGTCCTAATTCAATCCGAGGGCCCTCCTTTTGATCCCTCCCTCGGTGGGGGGGTCCCAAAGGGTCCCAGAGGGGGGGACGTCCCGGGGGAGATGCGAATCCCCCGGGGGGAGTCCCCAGGGGGTTCGCCACCCAGATACGCCTCCCTCCTGGGGGGCCCTGGGTCCTCGAAAGCCAAGACGGTGCCTGAAGAGGCTCCCGAGACGGTCCAAGAAGACCCCGAATCGCCGAAAGATGTGTCCAAGACGCCTTGGCGGCCTCCAGATGGCCCATGAGGCCCGCAAAACGCCCCAAGAAGCCTCCAGGACTGTGTGGGCCCCGGAAACGGCAGGGCCGTTTTTTCACCGTTTCCAAAGAAGCGTCCCGTAAAGAAAGAAACGGCAAAAGAACGGCGACCGAAAACGGCAAAAAAAAACGGCTCCAGGAATGGAACCGGAACCGGAACCGGTAAACAAACGGCGACGGAACCGGTAACAAAAACGGCGTCGGAACCAGCAAAAAAAACGGCAAAACGGAACAGGTAACAAAAACGGCCCTGTCGTTTCCAGGGCCCACTAAGCTCCAGGAGCACTCCCAAGAGGCCACAAGACGCAAACATTATAGATTTCCCTTTCAGTGTTTGAAGGATTTTGGCGTTCTCGCCTCTTCGGCTTCCCGACGCTCCAAGACGGCCCAGGATGCCCTCAGGATCGCACCGAGACGGCCCAGCGTCCCCCGAGAGGTTCTGAACATGGCCCGGCCGAGAGGGCCACAACACGGCCTGAGGCGCCGCCAAGGCAGGCCGAGATGCACCCACGACGGCTCCCAAAGCGTGCCCAGACGGGGAGCCAGAACGGACATCTCTCGAGCCCTCGACCCCGGGAAACTCTCGGGAGGCCTCCAAAGAGGCCTCCAAGAGGCCCCCTAAGAGTCTCCCAACACGCTCCCAGACTGCCCACCCCAGAGGCTCCCGAACATGCTCCGAAGAGACCCCGACAAGCAACCTCTTCTCCCCCTGCTCCTCACCCTCCTCCTCCTGCTCCTCCGCCTCGTCTTCATCGTCCTCCACCTGCTCATTGCCCACCTCGACCTTCTTCTGCCCCAACTCCCCCTCCTCATCCTCCTTCGCATGCTCTTCGTCATCCTCCCCCTCCTGCTCCACGGCGTCCTCCTCCTCCTGCTCCTCCTGCTCTTCCTCCTCCTCCTCCGCCTCACACTTTCACCCCTCCTCATCCCCCTCCTTCGCATCCTCCTTAGCATCCTCATCCTCCTGATCATCCTCCTCATCAAACTCCGCCCCTCCCCCGCGTGCTCGTCTCCCGGTGTTCCGCAACCTGTCCTCGACCTCGTCCTTCCCGTCCTCATCCTCCTCTTTCTGCCCCTCCTCCTCCCCCGCCTCCGCGTTCTCAAACTCCTGATCCTCCGACTCTGATTCTCCTCATCCTCCTAATGCTCCTCCCCCCCCGTCCTCCCCCTGCCCCTGCTCCCACTCGTCATCCTTCTCCGCATCCACCTCCTCCTCCCCCTCCTGATGTTCCACCGCATCCTCCGCCTCCGCCTCCTGCTCCTCCCCTCCTCCAACTCCTCGTCGTCCTCGTCTTCTTCAGGGTCGGCGGCACCAGCCGTAAGGCCTTCACAATAGACAACAGGGATTGCTTAGCAATATATGCGGTGTAGTCTCGGTTGTGCAATCAATGATGTGCAATCTAGGTGGTGCAACCCCTATGATGCAGCCTACGTGGCGCAAAACAAAACAAAGCAATGCAATACAAGACATCACAAAGCAATGCAACACAACGAAACGCAATGCACATCAATACAACGCAATGCAACACAATGCAACGCAAAGAAATGCAAAATAATGCGAAACAATACAAAGCAGTGACAAGCAACGCATTGCAATGCAACATGATGGAAAGCAGCGAGAAGCACCGTGAAGCAATGCCATGCAGCGCCAAGCAATGCCAAGCAAACCGATGCAACGCGAGGCCAGGCCATGCAGACCAATGCGAAGCGGTGCAGAGAAAGTCGAACCACTCACTGCAAATCCGTGTGTACTGCACTGCAGAGCAGCGAGAGACGGTGCAGCGCAACGCAGGCCCAGACGGCGACGGCGACCACGCAGCCACCAGACCGACGCACAGACCCCGAAGACGAAGCGGCGACGAGGCGGCGACGAGGCGACCACGCTGCCGCCACGCCGACGGGCAGGCACGGCTCCTCCGAGAAGCAGAACACACAACACCCACTTTAGGAGGCAACTACAGGGATTTAAAACGTATAAGATTTCTAATACATGATTAATATATGAATGAATTTATGAACTCATCGTTGTTTTTATACTAAATCCCTGCATGCTTAATACATGATCCGCACGCGGAGCATATATAAAAACAGCACTGTACTGGGACGGTTCCGGCGGAAGGATTTAAAAGGAGCAACCCCATTGGGGGGCTGTTACGGAGTGGGCCTCGGATTGAGCGGGATTGCACGGGATTCGGCGGGATGAAGCCGGAGTTCGGCCCGGGGCAGAATCAGCAGTGGACCTCCCGGGAGCTGCAAACCGAAGCTACCAGTCAGCGCAGGCGCTGCTTGGGGCACCTCTCCCCGGCTCCGCGCGGACTCCCTCGACATCGGCGCTGACCGCCCTGCCCCGGCGCTCTCGCCATGTGGCGGCGCCTCGGAGAGGCGCCGCCGAGAAGGCCCAGCCCGGATCCTGAAGACATCTGCGCGGGCCTCCGAGCGCGACTTGTGCTTACGCAGCTGCCTGGGGGCTCTTCTCGGGCCGGACGAGAGGGGGGGATGGAAAGGGGGGGCTTTTGAGAATCGGCTCACGTGGCTGATCCTCCCCAGCGCCTCCCGGCGCCGGGAGGCGCCCATGCATCGAGGAGTGGGCCCGGCGGCGGGGCCGAGACCAGCTGCACGCAGCAGATGTCGTACCCCCCCCCTTTCCCAATACCCCCCTCTTCGTCCGGCCCGATAGTCGATCACGCGCGCGCGCTTGCCGCCTGGGGCATCTGCGGCGGCTGCTCGGACAGCGCCTGGTTGATCTCCTCCGCGCGCGCGCATGCGGCGCGGCAGCCGCGGCGGCACCCCGTCGAGGGGCACCTTCCCCCGAGACCAAGTGCGCGTCTGAGGTCGCAGGCTCTGCAAGGGCGAGGGTCGAGGCCTGCACGTGTGCAGGAGCCCCTCCCCCCCCTATATATATATATATATATATATACTAGAACCACGCGCGCGCTTCGCGCGCGCTTAGGTTCTAGCTAGGATCGTCACCGTCGTCATCATGAACATCACAATCGCCATCATTCCCCCCGCCAGGGCTAATGTACATCGTTTCTGGATGCTTCTGGCCGGAATACGAAGGGAGTTTCTGTAGTCAGAGTCTCCGGCGGAAGTCGCGGGGCCCCTCAGGATACTTACGGATGCCTCTGATAGTACTTAAGAAATGATGGACCCATCATTTTGTACCTGTGCCTTGATCAGTGGGACGGGCTTCGCACCGCCGCACATCACAAGACACGCTCGAGCGGATCCAGCCGTGGCGACGTCGGGGACTGCAGAAGGTCGCAAGGACACGGAATCTGAAAGGAAGAGAGAGAGAGAGAGAGAGAGAGAGAAAGAGAGAGAAAGAGAGGGAGAGAGAGACAGACAGACAGACAGAGAGCGAAGGAGAGAGAGAGAGAGAGATGGAGTGAGAGAGAGAGAGAAAGCAAAAAACAACAGAGCGAGAGAGAGAGAGAGGCAGAGAGAGGAAATGGAGAGGAGGCGAGCTTGAGTCAACGAAAGTCGCAGGGAAGGGGGCAAGGGGAAGAAGGCCAGAGAGCGCTGAAGGATACAAATACTGGAACCCTCTTGGGATTTTTTGGGGGGCCTCGTCCGGCCGCTCGCTGGGAGTTTGACGTAGCTTCTCGGGAGCCTCTGAACCTGTCGGGGGCCTCCTGGAAGCAGGTTCGAAGCATTTTGGGGCCGATTTGGGGCTTCTCGGGGCCTCCTTTGGGCCTCTTGGGGGTCTCCTGGGGCCTCTTGAGGGGCCTCCTTGGGGCCTCCTGGCGGCCTCTTGGGGCGGAAGGCTCGAGCTTGCGGTTCGTGGTCCCCCTCTGGGCCCCCTCTTGGGCCCGTCTTGGGGCCCTCTTGGGCCATCTTGGGCGCCTCTTGGGCCGTCTTGGGGCCCTCTTGGGCTGTCCTGGGGCCCTCTTGGAAGCTTCTTGGGCCGTCTTGGGGCGGTCTTGGGCGCCTCTTGGGCCGTCCTGTAACGTCGGAAAGCCCAAAAGACAACTTTGTTGAAAATGTACGTTTTACGAAGGGAATGGGCCAATTTTTTGCGTCTAGGGGCCCTCTTGGGACGCATGTTGGAGGCTTCTTGGGGCCTCTTGGGGGCGTCCTTGGACGTCTGGAGGCCATCTTCAGCATCTCGGAGCCCTCTTGGAGGCCTCTTGGAAGTTTCTTGGGCCGTCTTGGGCGCTTCTTGGGCCGTCTTGTCTGACTGGGGAGGCCTCCGGCAAGCCCCGACGAGCCTCCGGGCCCCCCGGGGCGCACATTTGTGGTCGAGGTCCCGGCCCCAGGCCCCCGGACCCGGTGCGCCGTTATGTATATATATATATATATATATATATATGAATGTATTAAGGAGGAGGAGGAGGAGGAGGAGGAAAAGGAAAAAAAGGAGGAGGAGGAAAAGGAGGAGGAGGAGGAGGAAAAAGGGGAGGTGGAGGAGGAGGAGGAGGAGGAGGAGGAGGAGGGAGGAGGAGGAGGGGGAGGAGCAGGAGGAGGAGGAGGAGGAGGTGGAGGAGGAGGAGGGGGATGAGGAGGAGGAGGAGGAGGAGGAGAGGAGGAGGAGGAGGAGGATATGGTATGACTCCTCGGATGTCCGCGCGGGTGTCCTGGGCGGGCGCTGGACCTCCCGCCCGGGGCGCTGGAGGCCGCCGTGGGGGGCCCCAGGACTGTGTCGGGCGTGTCCCCCTGCAGGGGGACACGCCCGACACAATCCTGGGGCGGGAAGGGAAACGAGGGAGGAGGCGGGAAGGGAACGAGGAGGGAAGGGAACGAGGAGGGGGGGGAGGAGGAGGAGGAGGAGGAGGAGGAGGAGGAGGAGGAGGAGGAGGAGGAGGAGGAGGAGGAGGAGGAGGAGCGAGGAGGAAGAGGAGCGAGGAGGAACAGGATTGTCGGCGAAACAGAAAGAATACCCCAAACATGCCACAACAAGATGGAAAAAACTCAGAAAATAGTCCCCAGGCTATGTTTGGACTAATTGTTTTACTATGGCTGAATTCTTGTTATCTTTCGTCGAGAATCCCCCTGTAGGGGGACAGGCCCGACTTAACCGCAGGGGGTCTGCGCAGCTCTTCCCAGCCCTCCTGCGTTGGGTGTTTGTTTCGACTCGAGCACTGTGGTCCGCAAACCTCCTCCCGCCTCCCCTGTCCTCCCTGCCTCCCCCCTCCTTGAAGGGGCCCTGGGACACACAAATAAATGCACACAAATAACAGGATTCCCCATATCTTCTCATATTTTCTGGGTTTTTGTCTTCCCGCCCAAGACCCATATTTTCCCATCTCTTCTTGGGAATCGGCGACTCATTGTGTCTGTGCGTGTTTTCCCCTTCCTGACTCCTGCCGTCTGCCTCCCGTGTCCTGCCTCCTGCCTCGTCCTGCTGCCTCTCAGTGGGCTCCTGGGAGGCGCGGCGGCGTCAAGGGAGTGAGGAGGAGGAGGAGGAGGAGGAGGAGGAGGAGGAGGAGGAGGAGGAGGAGGAGGAGGAGGGGGAGGGGGAGGAGGAGGAGGAGGAGGAGGAGGAGGAGGAGATCCAGGCGGGACCTCGCAGCTCCCCAGGCGGCTGCGAACTGCGCCACCGTCCCCACTTCGTGGGCTCGTGGGGGGCACGGCGGGGCCGCGGAGCACGCGGAACCAGAAAGGGACCTCGCAGCTCCCTGGGGGGCTGCGAACAAGGGCTCCCAACTTCGCGCTTCGCGCTGCGCGAAGTGCGAAGTGCGAATAACTTCGCGCTCTCGCGCCGCCTCCCAGGAGAAGAGAGGAGGATGAGGGGGAATCGGAGCCGAACCGCGAAGCGCGAAGCGCGAATAACTTCGCGCCCTCGAGGGCGCCCTTGGCGAAGAGCGCAAGTGTCCCCACTCTCGTGGACCTCCTGGGGGTCACGGCTCAGTTGGGGAGCGCGCGGGTCCAGACGGGACATTTCAGCTTCGGGGTCTGCAAAAAGCGCAACGGTCGCCACTTTCGTGGGCCTCCTGGGAGGTCCAGCGGAGTCGGGGAATACGCGGTTCCAGGCGGGACCTCTCAGCTCCCTCTGTGGCTGCGAACCGTGCAATGACTCCACTCTCGTGGGCTCCTGAGAAGCACGGCGGAGTCGGGGAGTACGCCCGCTCAGTCGAGACCTCGCTGCTCCCTGGGTGACTGCGAAGTGCGCAATTGTCGCCACTTTCGGGGGCCTCTGGGAGGCACGGCGGAGTCGGGGAGTGCGCGTATTCAGGCGGGACCTCGCAGCTCCCTGGGTGGCTGCGAACTTCGCATCTGTCGCCACTTTCGCTGGCTCCGGGAGTACGCGGATCCAGGCTGGATCTCGCACCTCCCTGGGCTACTGCGAATCGTGCAATTAACGCCACTTTCGTGGGCCTCTGGGAGGCACAGCGGAGTTGGAAGTACGCGGATCCAGCCTCTGTGCTCCCTGGTGGCTGCGACGTGCGTGTGCGATTGTCGCCACTTTCGTTGGCCCCCGAGGGGCACGGGGGAGCCTGGGAGCACGCGGATCCAGGCAGGATCTTGCAGCTCCTTTGGTGGCTGCAAGCTGCGCAGCTGTCGCCACTTTCGTGGACCTCCCGGGGGGCACGGCGGAGTCGGGGAGTACGTGGATCCAGAGGGGACCTCGCTGCTCCCCGGGTGGCTGCGAACTGCGCAACCGTCGCCACTCTCGTGGGCCCCTGCAGGGCACGGCTGAGCAGGGGGAGCACGCTGATCCAGGTGGGACCTCGCTGCTCCGTGGGTTGCGCACTGTGGAGCTGTCGCCGCTTTTGTTGGCTCCTGGGGGGCACGGTGGAGTCGGGGGCCACGCGCACCCTGGGTGGCTGCGAACTGCGCAACTGTCAACGCTTTTACGAGCTCGTGTGAGGCAAGGCGGGGATGAGGGCAACGCACATCGCGCATATCGCGTGATGCGTTCTGTATTTTGGAGGGTTCATGCAAATATTCGTGTCGCGTGGACAACAAGGTTGGCTACGTCTCGAGTAAGTAATTATCCTTTGACCATTGGCACCAACCACCAACACAGAAGTGTCTCCACCTGGGGAAGATGATCTTCAATTTGAAACTGATACTAATCTCTGAGAGAGCGCGTTTCACGGGCGCTTGCCTTGGGACCATTCGGCGGCGCGTTTCGAACCGGGGGGTGGGCCCCCCCCCAACACTCGGCGCCGTCGATCAGAACCAGGGGGACTCCCGTCCTCCCTAATACCCCCCCCTCCCGAACCTCCCCCCCCCCTCCCAAGGAGGGAGGGGGTTCAAACCCCCCCCCCGGCGCCGGCGGCCGCCAGCAGCGCCGACGGCGGGGACGCAGCGACGATGACCAGAGGCAGCCCAGAAGGGGGGGGGTCCAAACCATCCCCCCCGGCGCCGGCGCCGGCGCCGGCGCTGGCAGCGGCCAGCAGCGCCGACGGCGGGGACGCAGCGACGATTACCAGAGAGGGCCCACAGGCCGCAGAGGGAACACATATATCGCCATATCGAGCCGTCGCCCCCCAGGAAGGTCCACGAGGCTTCACGCATGCTCCTCAGACGCCCCCGAGACCCTTCTCGCGAGACCTCAAGAGGCATCCATTAAAACTCTGACCCACAGCCAAAACACAGTGGCGGGAAGAGCCGAAGGCGACACCGCCACCACCACCAGCACCAGCACCACCCACCACCAGAAACCACAACACCACCACCACCACCACCACCACCACAACCCACCACCACCACAACCCACCACCACAAACCACAACCACCACCACTACCATCACCACCACCCACCACCACAAACCACCACCACCACCAGCACCGCCACCAG